GAAGCAGAATCGCTTTTTATAATAAAGCGTTCGCTTTTTCGCTTTTTTCGCTTCTTCGCTTTTTCGCTTTTTCTCGCTTCGCTCACATTCGCTTCGCCTGGGGTCCTCGCTCGCCTCGCCTCGCTTCTCGCCTAGGCGAGCGCCTAGGCGAGCTTTTCAAAACACTGTTTGTGATGACATTTTACGAAAAATAAAGAGAAATAAAACTTGTGCTTATTACACAGTCACAAATTGTGTAGTGGGCTGAATTACATAGAAGCCTCAAAGCCCGCTTCTAGAAGGATTCGGAGAACTCTAGAGTGGGGGTTCCGGAGAACTTTGAGTCTTCTTTAAAGTACATTCTAGACAACACTAGGGTGAGTCTCATATGCAAGTGTATATCACAAGAGAGAATGAAAGTATTGTATTGCAGAAGGGGAGATTACACTTCTCGAGTCTTTCATGGGTCTCATATTGAGAATTTTGATATTTTCTAATTTGCAATCAAGAGAGCTAAGAAAGACTCAATAAATTTTTATATTATTCATTAGATCACTACCTTGGTGTTTAGATGATACCTGTTATAAGATAAGTTGGAACAACCATTTGATTAATGTCAATGTCAAGCAAATTAACTCTCATACGGATGGTGAATTAAAAGTAGCTTTCATAGAGACGAAGCTCTTGGGCATGTGCACCTCTATTTTTCCCAGTATGTTCTTGGCAATTATCACGATTCCCACCACAGCTATTGTCCATAAACAAGCTTTTATTACCTCCTTCCTCAACCCACCATCCTTGAGCCACCACAGCTGCTGCCCATAAAGCTATTATCCATAAATATAGTTTAATTACGTCATTCCCCAGGCCAGTTTGACNATCCCTAAGCCACCACAGCTGCTGCCCATAAAGCTATTATCCATAAATATAGTTTAATTACGTCATTCCCCAGGCCAGTTTGACATTTGATTGACGAGTGTTTCTCACTAATTGCACCCTTGTGAGAATGCTTCACTAGCTATCAAATTTTCAAGTACGGTGGATAAATTATCTCTAATATGAAGCGAGGAAAATGTGGTTTCAATGTGGAGAGTAAATATAAATTGCATATATACGTTATTATTCAACGAATGTTGCTGGAATGAATGTAGAAAATTAAAGCTTTGTTTACGTGCAATTGTCCTCCCCCACTCACCTATCAAACAAAAACAAAAATTCTTTAGTGCAATCCTACCTAAAAGAAGCCATCGTAATTTTATCAACTCAATTAATAAAATTTGATGAACAACACGCATTATGAAATTTCTATGGCCTTTTTTCAAATTACATTGTCAGTCACGCATAATTCAACCTTATTAGTTTTTCATTACATCTCAAGAAGCTCGTGGCCGAAATCGCGTAGGTCTCCATGTGATTCGGCCTTCTAGGCGATCTGTGATTGTGTGTAACAAGTGCGAATTTTTATTTCTTTTTGGTACAATATCATCACAAAACATCTCTCTCTCTCTCTCTCAGTTTAATATCTCTCTGAAGCTAGTAATGTGTTAGGGGCCTATGATTTAGATGGTCTAAAATTATTCATATTTTACTACTTTTTACCCTAGACTTTAAAAAAAAAAAAAAAACTCTAATCAACACCTTGTTTGGGGAAGTCCTCAAGCAACACCATGGCTTGCACTTTGCTAACAATAGATCTGTTCTTGTTAGTTTAGTTCTTTTACCGTTTTTTTATTCTCCTGGTCGAGTTGTGGCCTTTGGAAAAGTAAGAGATTTGCTGCTAAAGGTGTACAAGAAGTGGGCATAAGCATATTGTAGTCTATACAAGAAGAACGTAAAGTGAATATTCATTGAATTGGAGTGTCCACAATCCAAATATGCTTTCTAGGGGCTTTTGAAGTAGCTACTATTTGGTGACTGAAATTTGGAATCTATGTATGCCATTGTCTATGTTCCCGTGTCCCACCCCTTTCCTTCAAGTCGGGTGGAGGTTTTAGGGATGCCAATAGCTCGGATTTTGTGTGAATTCCTAGTCCATGGGAAAAATAATTAGGACATTTATTTCATATCATAAGAAAATTTCGGATATCATTTCCTCATGGTACATGGTATTAGTTTGACTTTGGCATAACACGTTCTAGTTTTTGTTCCGATCTTGGATTTGGGATATTCTCACTCCCTTTGTTGAGTCCTTAGATTTGGGAGATTTAGACGCCCTTTGTTAATCCTTGCACTCTCTTTGGGAGGAGGTGTTGATTCTTTGCAGGTTTTGCAAAGCACCAACTCCAAGGGAATCTAAATCATAAAGTCCACAAAATAGTGTATAGGGACTTGGGTATATATTTGT